GGCTTGATGGAAGCAGTGTTGTAAAAGGGAAAGATTACCACTCCTAGCAGACAGTTTGCTCCACCAACAGGTCTCGGTAGGACGGAACACGTGTTTAAAGGACTGAAAATGCCTACTGATACAGGTCACGTAAGAAACAAGCGAAAAGCCAAATGAGTTCTCAGGTCAGCAATGAAAACAGCCTAAAATCTTTGTGACATCTTAACAAAAGAGATGCCAAGAGCTCAAACTGCAAGGTCAACAGCGGCATGGCCAGTTCAAACAATCAAGCTGAACCCCAGGAATGTAAAGAGACAGAAGAATGATGCTCATTGGCATCTAAAGGGCAAAGCATTTACAGGATATTGTGTTCCAGAACCAAACCAGGTCTTTCCCTTACAGTATCTAATCACAAAAGGTGTTGAGCAATTGGCTTTAGCTTGCATTCGAGGTTATGTTGAGAACTTCCTTGTGAAGTTCTTCCACTTATCTGTTTAGACATGTTTTCACTCTGCCACACGATGAACTGAAAGAATTTTTATACTTCCAGAGCAAACACATCATCAGTTATCAATTAAGCATTCACGCTCAGCTCTGCCTGCAATTAGGAAAACATTTAAGCCCATGCTGACAATCGTTTTTAAATAGCAACATTTTCCTAAGTTCAGTCCTAGAAAGTAATGCCTTGAATATACTCATACTGTGTCACCGAAATAGAAAGGAAAAAAAAATCAGGACTGCTAGAGTTTAAATAAGACTTAATTTCTTTTGTTTTCCTGCAAAGGATGAGTTTTCAATACGATTTCAAAAAGAACAACTGATTTATTAAACAAGACAACTGGTATTATTTCCCTCCTCCTTAAGCCTTTTCAATTCTTCAAGTACCTACAATGCAGCTCTTTCCTCCTTTCATCTCCATAACCAAACTCTATAAGATTCATTTTCATATGTGCTAAAATACTTTAGAGTTTTAGATAAAACATTAAGTAGGTGGTGTCTGGACCAAAATTAACAATGTAATTGAAGCAGAGAAAAGTGAGTAACTGCATTACCCTAAGACAGGAGAAAAGCAGTGGCATTAAGACAAAATTTACAGTCTTTTCATACAATCAAAGGAAATTAGAGATTTTTACAGAAGTCTTGCTTAAACATTTGGTTGCTTCAAATGCAGACTTCAGAGAGAGAGGCTTTAGCTATACAAATGACTTTCTCAAAGGGAATTGCTTAAATTCACTCCCAGTTATTGTTCCTTCACAAACAAATACACAAGTCAAAAACACTTCCACAACCAGAAGCTATTGCAGTAAGGCCTGGGCAAAATCTGTACTGGAAGCCCAGACTACTTTGATTTTCCTAATTTTAATTGTTGTAGTCTACTTCAAAACCATCGGACTTCTTTTGAACGAGGGTTCAGATCACAAAGAAATGAGATCCCATCATTGCAAAGCGAGCCATTTGTAAACCTACAGAAGGGCTTTTGAAAGCTTGGCCAGGGACATTTGAAATGCAGCTGGTCTTCATCATTTGTGGTTTCATGAGGTCATTAGATTGAGAATTACACATATTAAGTTGGGGTTTATTTGTTTATTTATAAAAAGATTGATAAGACACACAAGGACAAGTTGCATTAGTGAAAACAAACTTACCCGTGCGCCCTTCTCTGGAAAACATTTGCATCCAGCGCTGCAATCACGGCCCCCACATGGCCCACTGTAGGACTTCTTTCCACCCTATTAAAAGACAAAAAAAAAAAAGAAAAAGAAAAATTGAATTTCATAAGTAATTGCCAGCTGAAGATCTTTAATTAAAATGCTTGGTGTCAGCGCTTTTCATTTGCATTACATTTGTTGTGTGAATTCACTGGGAAGTAAGGGGTCAAAATATAATTACATTTTAACTTCTCCATAACTGGGTCATTTTCAAAATCACCAAATCAACAGAAAAAGCTGGGTTAGAAACTGTTTGAGGACGAGTGAATGGACACAAGTTGGTGCTATTCTGCAAGGTGATGAGTGCTTCCCAGGGCTATCCCACCCCTAAAACCAGGTGATGCTTTGAGATACTCTGTACATTATCAGACAAGGATCACAGCTGGTGAGTGCAACCTGTGCCTCAGCATACACAGGTATCTCTACATCAACACAACTACCAAGACACATTTAACTTTGGGATCCTTCCACGTTTCCAAGAACAAGAAGCTGCATCTCTGAGCCAAGAGAACAGAAAGTCCTGGATGAGGGAAGATGGCATTTTTAACTACGAATGGATGTGCAAGGGAGACAGTAGGAGACTACCATGAATTTGGAATTAAACTGAAAATATATTTTGAATTTACTGCACTAGCATTAGTTATTCAAAAATAATTACAGTATTTATGTAAATCTGAAGTCCCTGTATCACAAACTTAATTCCCAGCTAATAGAGATTGTGACAGGACATTGAAGTTAACTTCATAAATTTAGTTTAGAGAGTTTGACCCGCTCCCACACTCAACAGGTCTGAAATACTGGGCTGCCAAAAACCCTGCAATGCTACCGACAACACTGTAAATCCTGGAAAAAAGTCCAATTTAGCCACACATTGTAATTTAGTCACATACTAAGAACACCCTCCTCTAAGGAAACTTTCACTATCCAGCATGCGCAGGTACAGTTTTGGAACTCTGAAAGGAATGAACATATAAGCTCCTCATACCAAGGTGACCAAAGTAAGTGCTGAAACAAGTTCAGACTGGAAGTGAACATTTCCTTACTAAAAGCATTCACAGGAAATATCTTTAAAGCCTTTAAAATTTCCTGACATCTGTCAGTGAGGAACGTGAAAAATGAAAAGCAATTCATGCAAGTTTCTCAACTTTTGAACTTCTTTGAATCAGCCTTCTCAGAGAAAATAACTAGTCTGACATCACTTGATCAGTTTTCTGCTAAAGGGCAATAAAAACCCCTCTATACACCCTGATGTTTACTCCATTCTGCTGAATTAAACACCTTCATTTTTAGAATGAACAGATATTTAAAAAAGCCTTAAATCCAACCTCTCATACTTCCCTATCCAGACAGGAGCAAACAAAATACCCCCACAAAAAAACCCCAACCAATGAACCAGCCAACAAGAAAGAGGAGAAAAACTGTCTTGAGAAGTTATATGATAGACTGTAAAAGCATCTCCAAACTGTCTGCGCAGACAAGGAATGATCACGAACCTGAATTAACGATGTGCAACAGCAAGGGCTCAGTACATAAAAACAGGTCCCTCTTGTGACAGACACACTGCTGAGAGATCATTTCTGATCACAAGCATCATTCAGGTTTTATGAACTTGTTCTAAGACTCAAGTGCATCAAGATAAAAATTTCGTCATGATTGTTTGTGTATTTCCCAGTGGAAATCCCATTGCTAGCCCATGGACATCTCTAGTCCTGACACTTAAACTCCTCACAGATAGCTTTATGGCTCCAGAAAGTCAGATTATGCCTTCCCTGACACTTATTCAACCTTAAATTCTTCAAAGGTTTCAACTTCCCATCGACTTTTTCTCCAGATTATTCCTTGTTCCCACATGAGCCCTCAGGGCCTGTGGATGAAGCTCTCACTGAGCTTTATTCAAAATTGAAAATACATCCCTATGTTGTGCAAAACTGTGTTTGCCATGAATTTCTGGGTTCCTTTTTCCCAGAACGAGGAGTCACTTTGCTCACTTGTGAATGAAGGCATTTGGAGAGGAAGCAAAGCAAAGCCAGTTGGCTCCGAACCAGGTGTTACATGTCCTGAGTATTTAATTTAGGGGAAGTAGCTGACATCAGACACTCCAAAACTACTTAAATAGCAAACAGCCATGTGCATAATATTTGTGAATACAATTCCAAAGGCTGCATATAAGATTCTAGACAACAGTGTTCTCTTCTGAAAAGGTTTAATCCATTTTTCCATTCGAATACATGAATGCAAGGATATTTGAACATTTATAGACTGTAACCTGAAGATGTAGCACGAGCCTGTCACACTTGTTCTGAATATGTATTCAGGGAGGAGGGTTTTTTTGCCAACTGCTCTGAGATATGTTGATGAATGTGCTCCTGAGAAACAATAAGAATTAAAGAAATAAGGGTACTAGTTATAGTGGTAAGCACCACCATTATAAGAGAAATGAATTAAACTATTTTCATTTCATTGATGATTTTAAAAACCACAATTTCAAAAATAGAAAACATTACTATAAAGTAGCAGCATTGTTACAAAAATACATACTCTGAGATTTAAATAGCCATAATACAAACTGAGTAACACACATAATGTTTTTAATTGAGTTATTTCAGGCTTACATAAGAATCACTAGCATGATTTCAGTGTAGAAAAAACCCACTTTATTAAAGAAGTATTGTTATGAGTGAGGAACAAATTTTAAAAGACATTCATAACCAAGACCCAGTGTAAGGACAATTTTCCTCTCCTGTTTCTGGTGCACCTCTATCAAGCATTTATGCACAGCTGATTCATGCAGATGGAGTGGCATTCAAATCTTTCCATTGACTTCAGCCTGCTCTGGACTGGAGCCAAAGACAGTAAAGAAACCTGACAGCTGTGATGCCACAAGAGGTGTCCCAGACTCACACTCATTGCAGCTCCTCTAGAACAACACAGGACCACAGAATTAACATACGGGATCTGGAAGGACCTGCCTGCAAATCCAAAGAAAACCAACTAACAAAGGACTTCAGTGGGACACTTCCAGGAAGGATAGCTCAGATGCACAAGCTGAGGCTCAATTTTGCCTCAAAACTTCTGCTCTGCATCAAAGGATCAGCTGCAAAAGACTAAATAATCCTTGGCTGAAGACAAGGGTTTTAATCAGCTGGGAGAATGAACCCAGAGGAACAGGGTGAGGGCACATTTTAGGAAAGGGCAGCAGAAAGGTTAAAAGCATTATCTTTGACATGAGGAAGTTAAAGTAGCAGTGATGGAAATGGGCAAATAAATTGGAAAATTTCAGGACACAATGGATCCTAAGGAATGCCAGCATGCAAAACTGGAGTACGTAAAGTGCACCAAAAGAAGAACATGTCTGTCATAAAAGACAAAAAGATGAAGACAAAAAAAAGTTGATGATTATAAAACAAAGTGAAAGAATCTCAAACTTGCATAAAGAGATATGACAGGGATGAAATTTTTTCCCCAAAGACTTGTTTTCAGTAACCTCTTAAGTCAAGGACTGCTCCAGTACAGAGCAAAATAATAATAAGAAACCTCATAATCAAAAGCTACTTAATGAAAACTTCTGGAATCTTCAAATAAACAATTTTCATATAGTTCAGGATCCTGTTATCTGCTGATGACTAATAAGAAAATTATATTCGCAGTACTGGACATGCAGACATCCTTGCACATTTTCACAGCAAAAAAATTAGTCAAACATCATCTCTCTGTTCACTTCGTGAGCAGTGTGATGCTGCTGCATTAACCTTACTCCTGCAAATTTCTTCTTTGATTTGCTGCATTAAAATCTGGTGTAAAATTGTGAAAAGTCTGAAAAACATTTTTCACTGACTCTTACAGAATTAGAACGTAAAAAAACACACCTTCAAAAGTAAGGAAGCCTGGTTTAAATACTAACTCATAAACCACATGAGTGGTTTATTCAGTGGGATATTCAGAATGAGAGAAAAGCTTAAAGAGAAGGGCATAAACCACATGAGAGAAGGGCTTAAAGAGAAGTGGTTTATGCCCTTCTCTTTAAGCCCTTCTCTCATTCTGAATATCACCTTCTTCTTCCTATAGTCCAATGGAAAGGACTGGTCTCAGCTCCTTCACTGTGGAAACAGGTTAAACAAAAGTACTAGAGAAGGAGAATCTTCACCAAAAGTTACAAGGAATGCTCATAGTACTTATCGTCAAATCACATCTCAGAAGGTAAACTGGAATGTGTCCACTGTGATTCATCCTCCAAATTTGTACACAACACAGACCACCAACTTTGAAAATATGTCAGCAATTTATTATCTGCATTTGATTTTCAAATGCATCATTCCCCAAAGCCATCTGTGTAAAAAACCTTCTTTGAAATGAAAGCTCCAGAGCTGATAATGAAACAGTAAAACCCAAGCAACACGTTGGTAGAATCTGACCACACTTTTAGTGATAGTCGTGGCAAAATGCTGATGGATTAAGAAGCAGAGAAGGGAGCTGCATCTGCTCCTCCACACCAAAGCTAACGACTAATCTCTCTCTGTATCTTTTGGATCTGAGTCAGAGGAAAATCTGCACTAACGGCTTTCTCTGATGGAGTCACACTAGGGGTCAATGTAGCCTTAAGTGTGGGACACAGCTGGTAGGCTCTGTCTCCTGGGGACACAGGGAAGAGCAGGATGAGCACAGGGAAATGCACGGTCAGGAACACGAACACAGCCTCTTCAGGAAGTGGCTTTTGAGCCAGTTCTTCACACAGACAGTTTGGTCTGCAGGCTCAGCTGACACAGCATTAAACACTGTCTAAAATCTCGTCTTCTCTCACTTAACCTTTCATCCTATTTTTTAAATAGATGATCTACATCACAACTTACAGAAGGACCAAAATGCCCAAGCAGCTGAAAGTCTATATAATTATAGTCTACCTAAATAAAAACTTACGCAGTCACCTCCTGAAACTGTCAGAACACTACCTGTCATAGTACCAAATTATTAACTCTATAGCTTCACCAGTTGGCTTTCTTTCCTCATTCAGACATTTATATCTC